GCATACTGCTCCCGCTCGTACCGCGCCACGTCGTACAGAGAATTCCGCGCAGCTGCCGAGGCCTGGGATGGGTCATTCTCATGCCCATAACCGTAGCCCTCTCCAACAGTGGGGACTGCAGGGGCACGACGCAGGGGGCTCCGGTCCCGTCCGTAATAGGAGGTGGAGGCCGCAGTGACGGCGGCTGCGGCAGCCGCAGCGGCAGCTCCCGAGGTTGCCAACAGATGTCTGTCATAGGGATCGACGGAGGTGGAGGTGAGGTGACTGGCCACGGCTGGGTTCTGGACTTGTGGGAGCTGGGACAGGGTCTGCTCTGCATAGTTGTACGCGGAGGCCGCCGCCGCCGCTGCCACCGCCTCATAAGACCGGACTCGACATCGCTTGTAGTAAGCATCGAGCGCTCCGTACGCATTGCTGTAGTACACTGACTCCCCGTAGCCCACGGCGTAGGGCGTGCGGATGGCTCCGTACTGCTCGTTATACTGCTCGGTCAAGTCCGCCACGCGGCCCGTCCGATCCACGGGACACTCTTTGGACCAGTGGCCCTCCTTCCCGCACCGATAGCAGCCGCTCTGGTCTCCCATCCCGGGGGCGGTCCGGAGCCGGCTGGTGGACAGCTGCACGTGCATTCGTTTGCCTTGAAGAGACAGACGTGAGAAGGATTGCTGTCAGTCAGTCACAGCCCCGGCCCGGCCCCCAGACTCCTCCACCACAGCAAGAGCTACTGGAAGCCATCTCCGAAGCAGGCCAAGCTCAGCACCAGAAAGACACTTAACCGTCTACGGCACCGCACAAGTAACTCACTTGAGAGGCCTGGTCTCTCTCCAGCATCAGGGTTTCTGGCTAAGAAGGCTCTCCACTAGACTGGCTAACCAGCCATTATCAAGGAAAGGAAAACCAATCTTGTCCTAAGAAAGAATCGTCAAGTCCTTGGTGAGTGATCGGCCTGTCACCACACCCCCTCTCCAAGTCAGCTGTCGGCACCCAGCCCCCCCATGGCTCCTCTGCTCCCCAAAGGAGTGGCCGCCCTCACTTAACACAGGCCCGGCATCCCCCACGACAGCAACAACGCCCCTACCCTCTGCCGCCACGATGGAAGAGGCCAGAGGAAAGGCTCTAACCCCCTGATGTCGTCGTCGGTCGACCCGCCAGAACGCCCCGAAGCAGTGCCTTTTCAGAGACTGTGGCTGAGCACGCTCTACTTCCCGAGGCCACACGGACAGAAGACCTGAGTGCAAACCCCCTCTGTGATGCTTAGCAGCTTTGAGCTGTGGCCAGTCAGCTCCCCTGACAGCAGCCCCACCTCACAGAACTGTCAAGCTTCAGATGCCCCTGAGAAGTGACTGACTATCAGAGATGGTTTTCTAGGAGAGACAGAAGGCTTTTCCAGTCCAGAGCCTGGGGCTGTGACAGACTGTCCTTTGTGAAAGGTTCTACCTGGAGTCTTCCTGTTTCCCAAGCTTCTGTCCATTCTGTCCATCATCTCAATGGGCTGTAAGCAGTCTGCTGGCGTCCAGGGGCAGGCCACTGGATTTTAGCGACCGCCAGTCTGGAGCTGTGCCAAAGGCAGAACGAGAACTGGGCCCTTCAGGAAACCAGGACTCCCCAGAGGGAAGAAAACCATCAAGTAACAGAAAACGGGAGTGTTGATGGAGATGGGGGTGAGGGGAGAGGTGACAAGAACAGGAGAACAAGTAGAGGTAAAGCACTGACGAAACTCAGGGACCTGAGAGCCTACATAGCATTTGTGGAGGAACTACAAAAGCTTCAGAAAGAAATATTATAACGTGGAAATGGAAAAGGAAAATGCTTCTGAAAGCCAGAGCAGACCAGGGCCTAACCACAAAGCAAGAGGAAACGTGGAACTTGTTACCACCAGAGGAAGAAAGCAGGTGTTCTGGAGCAGGAAAGACGCAGAACAGGCTTCTCTGGAAGCGCAGAGCCTCTTTTAGACATACTCTACTACACACAAGTCCAAGGGGACCCAAGGTCAGCAAGGCCTCCTACGCCCCAGCAGCCACGTGACTGTCCAACCTCAACACTCAGCTGCTGGGAGGGCTCCCAAAGCTGACTCCTAAGGGGACACTCAACTAGAAACGAACCAGCCAAGAGGCCCCAGGGCTACGGCTGTGGAGATAAGGGGTCTTCTCTGACAAAACGAATGCAGATTAGGACCTGTGCTGGGGGACAAGGGACAGAGGCAGCAACAGGCAGAGGGGCTCCCTGGAGGGCCCGCCCGTCTGCGGCACCGTGGCCGGAGGCAGCTCTGGGCACAAACAGCACAGAAGCCAGGTGGAGCCAGAAGAGCACACAGCGGCTCTGCCTTTCCCTTCACTCCAGCCACCCCAAAATCAAGCCTTTTCACGGCATAAAGGAGTTGGGGCAAGTTTTTAAAAATGAAATATCCTGAACAAAGGGTTCAGCAGGAGCTCAAGTGACAAGAAAAGCTAACCTCTCACTTTAAAAGGCAAACTTGAGTTTGAAAGAGATAGAACGGGCAAATGATACAAGACTATGGCTTCCAAAATGCTGAGAAACTTGGGGAATAGGAACCACCCCTAACAAACACTGAGAGAGCATTCAGCAACCACAGAAGCCTCCGCTAGAACCCTTCTAGAGACAGGAGAGGAGAAACAGGGACTATGCAACTTGGCCTTCTCTCATTCCCTCTACGTCAGAAACAAGCAGCCTGGGGATACCTCTTTCTTCCCCCACCCACAATGGCAAAAGAGTGAAGTATAAAAACTGTTCCTCAAAACTTCAACACGTACAACAAACCCCATAAGACCGACTTCTCATTAAGAGTTGTTGACAAAGTAATCCTCAACTTGCCAATTAAAAAGGGAAAACAAGCTCAACCAGAGAGTATGGCCGAGGGCTCTCTAGTCTAGCAACGCAAAGTAATGCCCTCGGCAAAAGGCACACCTCATCCTGGGGGAATGGCGAACAAGCCTCTGGGTGCAAGAAAGGCTTGGTTCAAGAAAACCACCGCCAGAGGCAGAGGTGGGAGGCAGTGATCCCAGAACAAAGGCAAGAGGGGAAAAGGGACAGCTACTCACCAGCGAACCAGGTCTAAAGTCATCCTAACACAGGGAAAAGCTATGGAAATACTGCCACGGCTTCCCTCTTCTTTTGAGGCTGAGAACCTTAGGAGTGAGGGCGTGGAAGACAAGACAGAAGCCCAGAATAACCTATGGCAGAGTCGGGAGAACCTGAGTTCAGATTCCACCATCATCAAACCTAGCTCTGTCCTCTCAGCCTCAGTTTCCTCATCTGTAAAATGGAGTAATAACAGAACTGATTTCACAGGATAAAACCCTCAAGGGCTGTGGTCAGGCTCCGAAGACGGATGCAAACCAGGCTCTCCAGAAGTCATCAGTTGTTATCAACACCAGCCTTGGTCGCCTCCCTAGAGAACAGGTCCGGCCCACAAGTAAGAGAGTGGAGAAGCCAGGCGCTCCCATCAAAGATCTCCGAAAAGGCGCCCGTCAAGACGCCCCCGCCCTTCCCCCCCCCCCCGCCCCCGGCCCGGGCTCACCTTGGAACTCGGTGTTGTCCAGGCCGCGGATGGCCTCGACGGCGTCCTCGGCGCGCTCCATGTGCACGAAGGCGTAGTCCTTGACGATGTCGCACTCGATCACCGGCCCGTACTCCTCGAACTTGGCGCGCAGCTCCATGTTGGTGCACGTGGGGCTGATGTTACCCACGTGCAGCTTGGTGGACGCCTTGCTCTTGTTCTTGCTGGCCTCCACGTTGATGTTGACGCCGTGCAGCTTGTAGTGGTGCAGGTTGCGGATGGCGTCCTCGGCCGCCGTCTTGTCCTCGATGTGCACGAAGCCGTAGTTCTTGATGATGTCGCACTCGAGCACCTTCCCGTACTGCTCGAACAGCGAGCGGATCTCCTGCTCCGTCGCCTCGCGGGGCAGGTTGCCGATGAACAGCTTCACCATCTCGACGGGGCCTGCAAAACACCAGGCTGGCACCGCGTCCCGGGCCGGGGACAGGCCGGGGACCCGCCGAGAAGGGGGGCGGGGGGCGGGGCCGGGAACCCGGGGGACCCACCGGGGGACAGGGGCAGGGCCGGGAGGCGCCGAGGCGATGGGGCTCCGGGGAGCCACGCGCCGCGCCGCGCCGCGCCCGCTCTGGGCAGGGGCTTGGGCCGTCCGCTCGGGACAGGGGCTCGGAGACGGCGCTCGCGGCTCACCCGCAAGAGATGCGGCGCAGCCTCCTCCTCGCGCCTCTGACAAAACGCTAAAATGGCGACGGCCGCAGCGCCGACTCTGGGAGAAGACGGGAGGCTCAGCCTGCCGCTCGATTGGTCACGCCGCCGAGCGGGAGGCCGGCGTTCCAGGTGGGCCCTCCTCCCTGTTGGTTAAGAAACACGTCCGTCACTTAAGGGGCAGGAAGAGCTGACGTCAGTGACCGCTGGGGGCTAAAGACCAACGAGAACGCGTTGTATGCAGTCCGGCCAAGTGGATTGGGCAGGGCGGCACCAGGGGCGTGGCTAACCGGGAAACGCAAAGGCAGGTGGGAGGTAAAGCGGAGCCTGCGCCTAGGGTCCCTCCCTTCCTCGCCCCCTACACCTCCCCCCCCACCCCGCTCCGCAGCTCCGCCCTGAGAGCTTTCTGCCCTAAAAATCTCGGGGCCCCGCCGCCCACCGAGCCCGGAGCCCCGCAACCGTGACGGCCGGCCAGACTTGGGTCACGTGAACGGCTCGTACGGTAGCTCTTCAGCCTGGGTACACAGCCCCTTCATAACAGAGACCCAGGGCTGCCGCCGGCCCCGGCCCCGGCCCCGGCCCCGCCCCCACCCCTTCACCGCCCACGGAGGAGACGAGGCTCAAGGAGGTGCGTGGGAAGGAGGGTCACGCCCCCCTCCCCGGCTCGGTGCGTGCACCTTTGGGCTTAGCTGGGATTTCAGGGAGAAAGAGGAGCCAGCCCCCCTAAGAAAAAGAGGAAAGGAGAGGAGACCCTTCCCAAGAAAACGTGTAAGGCACCAAGTTTTCCGGTTCCATCTTTATTTTTCTCCAGCCAGGCTAGAACGAGCTCCGACACAACTTTAGCTCAGAGAAGCCCGCCCTGCACCGCCCGCCTCCCCCGACGCTGGCCCGGTGAGGCTGCGGACCCGGCACAATCAGATTAAAACCCCGCCAAGTTAGAGCGTGGGCCGGCTGCTCTGCATCCTCCCGGGCCGGCTTTCCAGGCGAGCATCCTCCTTCGGTTCCTTGGGCTAGTCCACCTTCGGTCCGGGCACAATCTCAGCCTAGACAACGCTGGAAGAAGCTTCTCAAAAGGACTGCAGAAGACGCGTAAAGCAGGACATCCAGACAGAAGAGCTTAAAGCACAAGAGGGAGCAGCCAGCATCTCGGAGGGAAAAGCATTAGAGGGGGGAGAGGAGGAAGGCCCGGATAGCTCAGCGACCTAAGGGAGAAAACCTGGCCAATCCGATGGGAGGAGTCACAAACCTTGACCCCAAGGCAGCCGGGCCGCTAGTGCAGAGAACCCTGGGCCTGGAGAGGGCAAGCCTGGAGCTCAAATCCAGCCTCCCGCCCTTGCCAGAGGATGGCCCTGGGCAAGTCTTAATCTTTGGCTCTGCTTCCTCCACAGTAAAAGGAGGACACAAGGAGAACCAAAAGAGACTATACCTAGTAGGCACTTAATAAATGCAGCCCAGACAACGAGCAAAGACACAAGGTGGGGTTGGGGCAGAAAGTTGGTTAAGAGATCTGACAGCAACCTTCTTGAGTCAAGATAGGGTCAACAGCACCCCAAAAGGCCTTGTAATGCAGGCATCCCCTCTTATTCATTCATTCTCTCTCACATACACACACACCCTTATTACTTCACTTTCATCTCACACCATTATTGAGCACCCGCTGTATGCAGTGCAGGAAAGTAAGGCTGGCTCCCCCCTGGGAGAATGAGCAGTCAGTGTGCAGAGAAAATTGGCTCTGCACATCCCGATGTGGCCAGTATGCACCACCCTCAGCCACGCTATCACAGGCTCCGTGTGGCCTGGATGGGAACATTTGGCACTTCAGAACTGGCAAGGCCTTGAAACAAGGTTACAGAGTGTCCAAACTGGGGGAGGGGAACAGGCAATGTCAGAGCTGGAGGGAGACTTCCAATATGCAATGCTAGAACTGGAAGAAATCATTTGATGGGACCCCTAATACACACACTGTGCAGAAATCCAAGGTCCAAGGCAAAGAAGCAATTAAGCCCAGGTGACATAGTTGTCGGCTTTGTTTACAGTTTAGATAATGCTGTTTTGTAAATAATTGGGGGGGGGTTTCCTGGCTTTTTAATGGTTTAATAGATTGAAATCTGGGCTTCAATGGTGAAAAATGACAGGTCAAACGTCTCTAAGCCCCACATGATCCCTAATCAGGCAAACAGCCACCCAAGGACCAATGCTGGAGTCCCCTCTAAATCATCCCAACCCCCAGGGCCATCCATCAGTGACAAAAAAGGGTGACCAATCTCAAGTCGCAATCATCTATACCTGCAGGACAGCCATCAGCCCAAAGTAGATACAGCACAGCCCTTTCTGCCTGGCTTTGAGAACATGCTCACTGTGGCTGCTGCACCTGCAGGGCCAGACAGGAGGCTCTGGATGACCTTGGATAAGGGGGCACTCTGGACCCTTTTCTCCCCTCTTCTGTAAAATGATGAAGTTGGACTAGTCCAGGAGTCCTGTGTATCCCTCTGGGGCTAGTGAAGCCTTGGACCACTTCTCAGAATGTTGTGAAAAACATAAAATGCACAGGATGAAAAAGGAGACCAACTAGGCTGAAATACAGTCATCAAAACAGTGAACAAGTTCCCAGACCCCAGGCCTAGGTGACCAATTCTAATTCTAACCAATCACAACCCTCTAATCCGCCTCTTCAATGAGCCCCCTGCCTGGCTAGGAAAACTTCTCTACAGAAGGGGTGGTCAACTCTTTTCTGTTTTCCCACAGTAAATGCCACAATGGAGCTGTAGGGTCAGACTACCCAACCAAGGTGCTGACCCAGGGAAGTGGCTCAGATGAAACCCAAATGAAGGCTGTAACCATCCCTTTCCTGGGGAGTTGAGTTTAGTCCCCTTAGGGGTTGTCATTTGGTGGTTCATAAAACTTTGGGCTCCGGGCCATCTAGAACAGACACAAGCTACTTCCCAGGAGAACCCAGATATGTCTGCTGGAGTGCCCCTTTTAAAATGTGTGTGACTTTGGACAAATCACTCACCCCTGTTCTAAGTAAGTTCCCTTCCAATTGTTGTATGGGGGCTTTGTAAACTTCACAGGAAATTTTACTTCCTACTGTCTAAACTCCCTTCCCCTAACACTCCCCACTTAGGAGAAGTCTCTTCTTCCCACCACTTGGTGGTCTCAGAACATCTATTTTCTAGCCAGCTCCTTCCCCAGCTGATTCTTCACCCCCAAGAGAACTCCAGCTTCACAGAATCTCAACTTTGGATCAGATCCAAGAATATCAGAACCAGGGGGTACTTGAGAGATCTTGGTCAGGATTTCTTAATCTGGGGTTCACCTCCCTGAGTAATTTCAAGGCATCCATTAATTTGGATGGCGGGGAAATTATGTCTTTATTTTGATGTAATTGGCTTCCTTCGTAATTCTATGAATTTTACTTTAAGCATTCAAAAATAACATCCCCCTGAATGGTCCACAGGCTTCACCAAACGGACTATCCAAATGGTCAAGGACACACAAAAGTTAGGAACTCCTGATCTAGAACCACCCCAAAGAAAGGGACCTAGGCAAAGGCCACAGCCATTCTCCTCTCAACACAAGAGTCACCAAGAACTGGCTGTGGACAGCGATCCCAGAGGCTGTTTCCAGTCTTGTTATCTGAGAGCTCACAATGCTACAGATCAGCTATCCCGTGCATACTCAGGTGCCCCTTCCTTGTTAGGACAAGCCAGTGTGCCCTTTAAAAGTGTAATGGGAAGGAAGTCCTTCCCATTCTCCCACTGAAAGACTCCCCTCTCTCCTGTCATACTTTAACTGGCTTAGGGATTCTACAGTCATCTCACCAACTAAGATGGCACCTCCAACTTAAGGGTCAGGCCTGTGCCTCGGACGCTTCCCATCTCTTCGCCCACCACGGTAGAGTTCTTTGCACACAGGAGGCTCTTCAGACAAGTTGGCGGAATTGTCGGCCAGTGCCTATGATGGTGCTTGGCCCACCAAGGCTCCACATAAAGACTGCATCAAATCAGAGCCAAGTGTGAAAGAACCTGCTTGGGCCCAATTCAGGCTCTCTGTCAATCACCAAGTGCCTCACAACTGGGGACACTAACTCTGCAGAGTAACAGAAAAGTGTGGGGACACCAAAATCCCTACCATTTCCTCTATGGGTCCCAAAGTCTCCTGCTTTTAAACCCCAGGCCTCTAAATCCAAAGCCTACAGGACCAAGATTTGGTTGGCCGGTGCCTCTGGGGCAGTGGTCACCTAAAAAGATGCCTGTAAAAAAAATAACATGCTGTGGAGTCCCACTGCTCCATTGCTGGAGACAAAAAAGCAAAGTTGCCCAAAGAAGCATGGACAAGAGCCTATGCTGCAGTCACTTTCCTCATTTTTCCCAAACCTGGTCCTCACCCCAAGGAGGCACACACCAAGGGCAGCCAGGAGGACATAGCAAGGAGCACAAGTAGGGGACACATGGCCTCAGGCTCTCAGGACAACGCCAGCCATACAGGAACAGCCAAGTCTAAAGACAGTAGGGAACCTGTTGAAGCACCCCTGTCTCCAGCACCTTCATTTAGCTCTACTTCCCCCCCCAAATGGAAGGTGCATGTGGTTGTGGGCACCTCCCAACACCGTACCATACGTGTCATCAACCCCCAAGCTGCCAATTCCCACCACCCTCCTCTGAGGAGACAAGACCCTCAAAGTCAGAAAGATACAACAGGAACAGGAGGGGAGGGGTGACAGAAAATGGCCAGACTGCCCAGCTAGCCTGACTCTCCTGGGAGGGAAAGAGAAAGGGACAGAGGGCTGGCAGCAGACCTGATGTGGCTTATCCCTCTTAGGCAAGGAGGAACTCAGAGAGCCGAGGGGTCCAGGGAGCCTGAGCGTGGTTAGCATGCTCATCCAGGTGGTTCCAGATAAATGCTCACCCTGGGCTGCAATAAGGACAGTCAACTAAGGATTCCCCCACACTACCACCACCACCACCAGGGCAGAAAAGAAAGACAGGAAATCAGAGTGACAAGAAAGAAATGTTACAATCGTAACACTACATCCAACCCTCCAATGCTCCAGTGTAAAAAAATAAAATCCATGACCCACCAGACCCACTGAGAGCTTGAGCCCTACCTATGAAGGCTTACAAATAACCTCAGTGGATGATGAGTTCTGTTGCCCACCCCACCTCATCACTCCCCAGATCTCTTCTAAAGAAAAAATGCAGAGTAGAAGCAAGCAAGAAAAGAGAATTCAAGCCCAGAATCTCCTGATGTGCATCCTAGCCCAGACGTTCCTGGGCAGCCCGATGCTGCCCTGCGAGCTCAACAGAAGAGTTGGCCCCTGAGCTAAAGGAGACCCGAGCACTGACTTCTCCCCATCCATGGCCTAAGAGTGGCCTGGCTTAAGCAAACCATCTACTTGGGGAGATAGTGCCCCTAAATGCACACCACTGCAAGAGGGCCTTCTGAAAGTCCCCTCCCCACCCCTCCAGGTGGAATGGAAATCTGGCTCAAGTAATACAGGAACCAACATCTCCTGGCCAGACTCCAATCTCAAAGTTAAGCCCTGAGGCCTCCTGTCCAATATCACACCACCTCCCTTTCCTGGGTCCCAAGGCCAGGAAAAAAGCGGCAGCTCTCCATTACTTGCTGCTTCCCACTTACCTAAACCTACACCAAGCCACAAGGCTACTCCAGAGCCCCAGTAAAACTGGGAGGCAGGCACAGGTGACGGCGGTGGCAGGATGGAGCAGGGAAGTTCCACTGAGGCAAAGCAGGGTTCCCAGACCAGCTGCCCCCTATGCCATCCCCTCTCCTTCACTGCCTCTTGCCCTGTCATTCCATGTACAGGTGCCATGAAAGCAGAGGCACCACAAGCCAGGGGTGCCAAGGAGGTCACCTCCTAGTTACCTTCCTGCAGGAATGGGTGAGCAACCACTGTCCCTTCTACCCCACAGCCTAATGATTCTGCCCCCCTGGATTTCTGGGATCAAAGTCCAGGTTGCCTTTACTTCAGCTGCCACATCTTGCTGGATGTCACCACTGGCTCCTCGGTGACACTGAGTTCAATCAAGACAATGACAACCAGGTTTCCAAACTGCAAATTGCCCCAAGTTTTATTCATAGTCCATACAAAAGGGAAAAGAAAAAAAAAATGAGGTTTCTAACACCCCCTACTTGAAGAAGATGGGGAACGAGGGGCTGGGGTGTGCTGCTCAACATCAGCTCTGCTCAGTCACCAGGAACCCCACCTCCAAAGCAGCGTGCGGGCAGGGATGGGGTCAAGGGAGCACAGGGGACAGAGGGGCTGACCTGTCCCCAGCCTTCCTCATCTCTCAAAAGAAAAAGACGCCGCTGACCACAGCCGTGGGCTGCTTCCTGTCCAGACGACCTCAAACACCGCGCACAAAAATCCAAGGGACTTCAGGAAAAAGATAAAAACGTAAAGAGAAATCGCTGCTCAATAAAGGTGGGAGGCCAGGGGCAGGGGCTGGGAAGTGGAAGGGGGAGCCGACCGTCTGGAGCCAAAGGCAAGACTTACTGCTGAGGCGGAGGAACAAAAGGAAAGGTTACTGCCGCAACACTACAAAGATTTGGCTGCCTGGGGCAGAACCCACAAGGGAAATCAAACTTGCTCTCGCCAATTGGGCCCCCATCCTGCCCCTACCTCCTCCTAGCTCTGCTTCCACCCACCCGCAGGACGGCCCTACAGGCGGCGCTGGTAGCCAGAGTGCATCTGCGCTGCCCGCAGGTACTCGCTATAGGAGCCCGAGTAGCGAGCGTAATCGGAATGGGCATCGGGCAGGCGACGGTAATCCAGCGAGGACTTTGTCGGCGAGCGGCGGAACGAAAGCTGCGAGTCTGATAAACGGCGGTAATCAGAGAGCTCGGCTAAGCGCCGGTTGGAACCATACCTGGTCGAAAGAAGAAGACAGTTGGTGAATGAAACAGTTGTCTGGGAAGGAGCTCCGGCTGGGTAGGGGGGGGAGATGCCAATGGAGTCAGGGATTGACCATGAACAAACAGGGGCTAGACTGGCCAGGCAAGTCTCCAACAAAGGGGCCTTATGTGCTTTCCACCCCCCTAGGGATGCTGATACAGGGCAAGAAAAATCCAATCTGGGATAAACTGGGGCGGGGGGAGGAACCAAGCCTTTCACTGGCACCTTCCCTTAGGGTCCAAGCCAAGATGCTATCTGGCCACCATTCATTTACTACATCACAAAAAACACCTGGGGGACCCAAGGTGAAAAGTCCAAGTCGGAGAGCCAAGCTTGGTTGCTTTGGAACGGCGAATGCCAGCAAGATACCCACCTTCCCCCAGAGGAGACGCAATAATGACTACCAGGGTACTAGTTCAGATCTATGTGCGCTCAACTTTCCCGTTTCCAAAGCCACAGCTATTGCAGCCAGGACAGCCGTGAGTCACATGTTAGGGGACATCCAAGATGGTGGGAAAGATCAGGGACCCATTCACCAGCAAGGTATGCAGTGGCACATGGGTTGACCCAAACAGGCACCTCCCCTCACAGCCTTAAGTGGCTGGCTCTAAATCAAGCCACACACGGTTCCTGTCTAAAACCGAATTTAAAATCTTGCGAGGCTGCAAAGAGACCTACCACTTGGCCTCATGGTATCCTACGGAGCACCAGGGTGAGTGGAGAGTGAGGAAGGGTCATTGGCTCTAGAGCTTCCCTCCCATCCTAACCTTAGCCCCGTGCCCAAGGCCCCAGCCAGGGGGCGGAGCCTGGGGGCATACAGTACCTTTTCGACATGATGGAGGCGGCCTTTTTGTAGGGATCGTCGTAGCTGTCTCGGGGTGGGGAGAGGCGGGTACGCTCATAGGGCGGCGGGGTGCTGGTGGCGGCGTTGGCAACAGCCCCCTGAGACAGGGACAAGTAGGCTGCGGATGGCTGGCCCGCCCCCTCATAGGTGGCACCTGGCTGGCCCCGGTAAGAAGCAGCAGCAGGCTGGGGAGGCTGCTGCTGGGCAGCATAGGAAGAACCCAACGGGGCCGACGACTGAGTGCGGTAGGGAGCAGCCAGGGCTGCCGCAGTGGGCTGGGCGCCATAAGCAGCTGCTGCCCCATAGGAGCCTGTGGCTGCAGCTGACTGAGCCCCATAGGAGCCAGAGAGGCCCATAGTGGCCTGAGCTCCGTATGCATTCAGCTGCGCTGTGACAACTGGCTGGGCGCCGTAGGAGCCTGCGAGGGGGCCCGCTGCCTGCGCTGCATAGGCGGCTGGCTGGGCGGCATAGGCTGCAGCAGTAGCCGGCTGAGCCACGTAGGCAGCAGGCTGGGCAGAATAGGAAGCAGCTGGCTGGGCTGCATATGGGCCAGACTGGGCATTGTAAGAGGCTGCCGTGGGCTGAGCATTATAGGAGGCCGCAGTAGGCTGGGTGTTATAGGAGGCTGCCTGGGCCCCATAGGCAAGTGAAGATGCTGCAGGCTGGGCCCCATAGGAAGCTGCCTGAGCCCCATAGGAGGTCAGGGAGGAAGCTGCCGACTGGGCGTTGTAAGAGGAGGCAGCAGCCCGCACCCCATAGGAAGCTGGCTGATTACCATATGAGGCAAGGGAGGAGGCCTGTGCCCCATAGGTGGTGAGAGAAGAGGCTGCGGCTGACTGGGCCCCATAGGAGGTAAGGGCCGAGGCTGAGGGCTGGGCACCTCCGTAGGGGCCGAGTGAGGAAGCTCCCCCAGGCTGAGAGCCAGGGCTAGCCAGCTGGGCCCGATATGGGGCTCCCAGGGACACTGAAGGCTGTGCCCGGTAGGAAGCTGCCTGGGCTGTCATGGGCTGGGTCCGATAGGCGACACCCAAGGAAGCAGAGGGTTGGGCTCTATAGGCTGCCCCCAGGGAAACCGAAGGCTGGGCTCGGTAAGTGGCTGGCTGGGCGGTCAGTGGGGTCACGTAGGAAGCTCGGGGAGGCGAGCGGCGCAGGGGACTGCGGTCACGGCCATAGAAAGGAGGGGAGGGCTGCCGGGGCCGCCCATCGAAGCTGGTGGTGCTGTTGCCGAAGGCCTGCTGATAATCAAAGGTGGCAGAGAAGCCACCAGTCCCAGGGAATGCAGTGTCGCCAGCCACTGGCTTCTTGGCCTTTTCCCCAGGGGCCGCCAGGCCCGCTGGCCCCTTCTTCTGACCTTTGATGGAAAGCTCCACGTTGATGCGCTTGCCCTTCACCTCCTTGCCGTTGAGCTGCTCGATGGCGGCTTTGGCGTCGGCTTCCTTTTCCATGTGAACAAACGCATAGTCTGATAAAGCAGCAGACAGAGGGGTTAGCGGTTAGGGGGTAAGCCCCAAACTGGGGACACACACACACACACACACACACACACACACACACACACTCACTCCCAATGGCAGGTCCTGGCTGCTGCCAGTTACGTCCATACACCTCCAAAGCTTTCCTCTTGGACTTGGTGCCCAGGCCAGAGAGCTGCCAATGGCCTTGGGCAGTGAGACAAACTCCGTGAAAAGGACTTCCAGCCAAGCTGGGAATATAAAAGCTTTCTAAATGGCCAGACCAAAGGAGAGATGGGATCCTGAAATAAATCACGCCCAACAAGCTCTAGCCTCCAGGCTGACAGTGGCCACTCACCTGAGTTCACACCCAGGTCTCGGGTTTAAAAACCCTGGGAATCACTCGTTTCCCCCTAATTACAGCAAGGACACCAGGTCAAACCAAGGTTTACCGGGCAGCCATAGCCAGCAATCAGCTACTTCAGGAATGACCCGACTGTGACCCAGAATTTCTCACATCTGTAAGGCACTTTACAAAAACAGTCACGGACTCTCACCAGCAGCCTGTAAAGGAGGCAGGCTCAAGTCACTCTCTCCATTTTACAGATTAAGAATGTGAGACAGCGAATGAGGGGCAGAGCTAGACTCAAATCCAAGGGCTCTGGCCCAACCCCAGGGCTTTTCTGCTTTGACTTAGTGAGGTCTCAGAAACCTCCCAGAAAGCACACCCCAGACCAAAACCTCTTGCTTGTTTCCACAGGCTGAGATACCGGAGGTGAGGGTCACATAGTAAGCAAACCAAAAGAGATGGAGAAAGTGTAGGAAATAAAGCCCAAACACCCCTCTACCACAGGATCACTCCCAGGGCCACACTGCTTCACCACTGCCTGTTTCCAACACCAAGAAAAACCTGTCCCCACATTAACTAACTCTCTCTGACACTGAAGGTTTATCTACAGGAGACATCAGATCCCAATCATTGCGGCCAGAACTACGTCTATCTTCAAAGCACTTAGTACTCTTTCCCTCAAGACCCTCATCTTGGGCACACGGAGGACCACTCAACAAGTCAGCGCAGAGATAACGTCAGACCACTTCCCAACACCAAGTCTGACCCTCCCTGGCCAACAATGCTAGGGACTGGAGAAAGAGGGTATGGCGAAAGTAGAAGGCTAGAGAGAAAGGAGTCAGAGAAGAAATCCTCAATAGTCCAGCCTGGCTCTGGGAAGATATAGGAGCTAAGCCTGCTCACTGCCTCTATCAGGAACAGAGGCAAAGCACCCATTTCTGCTAGGAAGGTGATCATAACATGGAGACTTCTGACTAAATGAAAGCTCAGTGCTCAAAGACAATGGAATTTTCTGCTCCAAAACAAGCACTTCAGCTGTGAGAAACCCACTGATTGCTGAGCCACCCTCCCAAGATGTTCTCCCTGGGCACCAGCATCCTCCTTTGTTCCCTGGGGGCAAACACATGATCATTACAACTCAAATGCAATTTATAAGGGAAACACCTATGTAAGAAGCAATATGGAATAACCAAAATGGCCCTGGGGACTAGGAGGATGAGTGGGTTTCAGGAGCACCTCTAGTGACCTTGGGCAAGTCTCGACCTGTCACCCCATCTGTCCAATCTGTCTTGAGCTAAGGAATGTGGAAGCACTTTGAAAAGTGTGATGTCATACAGCATGTACAAGTTTTCCCATGCTTATTCAGCAGAATTCCCTCCAGATAACAACTCTCAGTTGTTCTAAGAAAGCAAACAAGATGCAGGACTCTTTGTACTTGCAATCTCGGAATCTAACAGAGATACCAGAAGAATAAAATCAAGGGAAACAAAGCCCTGCCTTCACATCCCACAGCCAGACCCAGGTGTCCTTACCATTCAACCAGGTAAACACAAGCTCTCCTCACACACAAGGGAGAGGAAGGAGGCAGGTATTCAAAGTTGGCCTAAGGGAAGGTGAGGGCAGCAGAAAGCAGAACGGGGAGGGGGGGCCAGCGGGGTCCCTAGAAGAGATGAGCCGGCTGCTCTGGGGAAGGGAGAAATAAAACCTGAACGAGAATCACCTGGGCATCTATTTCTAATCAGTCCTGACATGGAATTGGGTAAAAGCAACCAGTAAGCACTGGGAAGAGATGAAAAAATTGTAAGCCCAGGTTCCCTAATTACAGTCCAATTTTGTCCACTTCTTAAAAACGTTTCAAGAGCCAGGCTGAAAAATATATCAAAATCTACATAAAATACATTAAAATCAACTGGAGAAAAAAAAATTCATAGGATTACAACCAAATTCCATCCACACAGAGGGCTCCTGGGAAGCAGACAAAAAAAAGCATATGCCCAGCTGGTTCAAGGAGCCACAGGCCTGCCTGGTCTCAAGAAAGAAAGCCACCCTAAGGGAAGGTCCTGGGCCCAGTAGAAAAGACCAGACCCTAGTTCTTCCATAAGCACAGTAAGGAAAAACACCTGAAGATTCAAGGATCACCAAGAGCCCCATCTTGGCCCTCCAAATTAGATGATGGGATATGGAGAACTTTGGAGAAGACTCTTTTTGCTTAGGGAAAATAAGCAACCCAGGCTCCCCAGCATCACTGCACAATTCCCTCTGCTACTAAGACACAATGACTATCATTCTTCAGTGGGTCCTAAAGTGTAAGGTGGGAATAGCATCTCTTCAGAATCCTCCCAGGCTTGAAGACAGAGGCCAAGACGAGTTCCCCACTTCTCTGGGCAGTCAACAGGACAAAGGCACAGAGAGGCTCAAAACTGCTACTGTAGTACACTGAATTACTGAGCAACTTCCTCCTTCCTGCACCTGGGCCACAGGCTACACTAAAGAAAGAACAACTCCCCCCCAAAGTGGTAGGAGGTAATGAAAAACTGCTCCTCTTTTTTAGCAATCATCTGTATTATCTCCTCCCCACATTCCCTGTCAAACTTCTGTTTGCAGCCAGAGAAAAAAGAATTCTATGGAGCCATGCATCCCCTGCCTCCTGTCCCGTGTTTGAGAGGCTCCCATAGATCTTCTTGATTAAATCAAACAATTTATCAATAAAGAAAGTCCCAAATACAAATAAATGTTTCTAAAATACCTGACGGGGCAGTAAACACATTTCTGCTTGTAGATGCACATTCTTTTCAGTCTAAGCAAGCAGTGGTGAATGATGCAATTATTTTCCCTCTGCTACCCGGTTTCTGAAAAGGCACTGAGCAAAGATGGTTTCTTGACACCATGAATTCCAAGCTATTCTAATCTCACAGAACCAACATTCTCAATTCTCCACTCAGAATCCAACCTACAGAAGGAGCAGTTCTGACATTTATTAAACCGCTTAAAAACAAATACTAGCCAAAGTCAGATTCCCCACTTCCCTCCCTAAAATCCTTTCCATTCTTTCCTCAGAACAAAAGCAAACTGCAAACACCATAGCCCCAAAACACCTGGCAGAAGAGCCTGGATCCGGATATTCCTGGACTTCCATAACCTGAGTTGAGGAAAATAGAATGCCATATTAATGCAGGATGAGAAAGCTATTTCCCATTAAGGAGAAGTGGAGGGCCAAATTAAATCTTTACCCTATCCACCCCTGCTGGAAGAAGTAGATACACCAAGAAGGAGCCTTCCTGGACCAGACCAGCAGATCCAGAAAACACATGGAGGGTTTCTGTCCCTAACACTTCTCTTGCTGAGTCCTAACAGCCCCCAAATAGAGGCATAAAAGACCCTCAAAATAACATCCTACCTCCCTCTCTTTTGACATCCAAGAAAATTATTTTGGCTTTTGCAGATGATGAGGAGAAGCTAACCTGATCCCATCTAGAAAAGATGCTAAACTACACAAGGCTTTTGGCTTTTTCCAATTCCTGCCAAAGATGACAGAACTCTGGACAAACTGTCCCGTCCAAAACAAAGTATCAAACGGGCTGGCTGAATTCTATAAGAATATGTGCTGTACAAGACAACCCTGAAAGACTTACGATGAAAAATGTTGTCTATCCCCAGAGAAAGAAGTGATGTGTCACTCTTTGGCTTTTATTTTTCTTGATTTGTTTTGGCCTATGTTTTCTTTCACAACATGACTACACATGCATAACCTATATCGAACTGCTTGCCTTCTCAATGAAGGGGGTTGGAACTCAGTTTTAAAAACGAATGTTAAGAATTGTCCTTCCATGTGCTGGAGGAAAATAAAGCGCTAAATAAGTTTAAAAGTAGAAGCAAAAATAAGCACTTAAAAAAAAAGAACACCTGCTACATAGGAGAGAAATTGAGCATTAAGCCACCCCAAGCAGATGACTGGAAAAGTAAACCATTGCAGTTAACTGGGGAGGCCTAAGTCTGCCTCCTTTAAGCGAAGGATGACAGGCTCGAGGAGGTGCAGGACAACAAAGAACCCAGGCATTCAACCGTGACTTACAGCAGGCATACCTCGTCCTGGGAGCTAGGCCTCAGGTTAAAGAATTGGGCAAAGTTCCTCGGGAGGCGAAGGCCCACTCACTGTGTGTTCAAGCACAGGGACTTAAGAGGAGGCATGTGCAAGGGACCCCTCCTCTCCCCGCACATCCGGGGCTGCGAAGCTGAGCTCCGGGACAGGCCCTCGGAGGGAAAAGCCCCTTTCACAGGACCGGCTCCTTACAGACTTCAGGGCCCCGTTACCTTCCTCTCCGGCGCATTCGTCAGCATCGAACCGGCGGGAGGGCGGGCCCACAGCCCTGACCTTTCACCCCTCGCCTCTGACCGACGTCCAAAGGGGCCGGAGGGCAAGGGGGCCGGCCCCCGCGCCTCCGGATCCGGCGTGTCCCCGTCACTTCCTAACACTTTCCGACCGTTCGGCGACCGCCCCACCCCGCCCCCCCCGGAAGAGGGGGAGGGGAAGGCGCGCCCCCGCCGCGCACACGCGCTCCCGTCCCCCCACACTGGTCACCGGCTTAAAGCGTCCTCGCCGCCGACGCCGACGGGCGCGGCCCCGAAACGCGCCCCCGCGGGTCCTGGCCCCGGTCCCCCCCCGGGCGCGCCCCCGCGTTACCTTTGACCACGTCACACTCGATGACGGGCCCGTGGCGCTCGAAGAGGCTACGCAGCTCCTGGCTCGTGCACGCGGCCGACACGTTCCCCACGAAAATTTTCCAAGTGTTGAGAGGCCGCGGACGCGACATTTCCACCACGAGGGCGCGCCCCGGCCGGAGTTCGTGGCCGTGCAGGGCCTCAATGGCGCGCAGCGCGCCCGCGGCCTCGCGCACGTGCACGAAAGCGAACTGCTTCATGACGGCGCAGCTCATGACGGTGCCGAAGCGCGAGAAGAGGGCCGCGAGCTCCTCCGGAGTCGTGTCCGCCCCGTCTACGTTCCCCACAAAGATCTTCATGGCGCCGCCGCCCCCGGCCAAGAGCTCGCACCCCCCCCCGCCTTTCCCCCGAGCGACGACCGAGACGTCCGCCCTGACGGCCGTCCTCCCCTGGAATGGAGGGCGGACGAGAACCCCGCCGCGCAGGCGCAACGCGCCGGCCAATGGCAGCCGGCGCTCCGCGCCACCGCCGGCCAATGAGAGCGGCGGAAACGGCCGCGCGCGGGGGCAGCCAATCCCCGCAGCCGGGGAGCCCGCTCGCTGGGCGAGGGAGCTCGGAAAGGAGGGCGGCGGCGGCGGCGCGCGCGCGACCAACGGCCGCCCGCCCCCTCTCCCCCCGCCCCTCCTCCCCTTCCCCGCTGCGGGGACAGAGCTGAGCTGGGGGGCGGAGGGGGGTGGCGAGCGAGGAAGAAGCCTCTGCAGCCGGGGGTGGGGGGGGAGGGGGGGGGTTGCCCGCCCCGCTGACCTCAGGGCGCCGCCAGGCTCCCGCCCGCCGGAGGGGTGTGGCTCCGAGGGCGGGGGCGGGGGGGGCGGCCGGCGGTCCAGCGGCCCAACTCGGCGCCTCCCCGGCTGCCGCGGCCCTCCCCGGCTCCCAGATCTTGCGTGGCTCCCAGGGCCTGCTGGCCCACCCGCCGCGGCCCCTACCTTTGCGGCTTGGCCTGCCATGCCTCCTCGACGTTCCGGTGCCGCTGTTCCCCAACGGCATCGGCATTCCATCCCCGGCTCGGAGCCTGGAACAGCGCGCCCCCCAGAGGGCGCCCCCTTCCTGGCCCGGCACAGAAAAGTGGTCGAATTCGAACCCAGGGCCTGTGCCTCCACACCGCGTGGTCAGCCCCTCCCCCGCCACCGAGGTGGGGCCCTCGGCCGCCCTCCCCCGACTCCTGCTTGTGGTCCTTAGTAACTCGGGGAGCCTTTCCTGTCCACCTTAGCGCTCAAGCAGCCGTGCCATGTGTGCTGAGCGCCTGCTGTGTGCTGGGCTGCGGTCTGTGCGGTGCACGGAAAGGCGCTGGGGCCCAGAGGGGTTGGGGAAGGCTTCCTGCCACAGCCGGAGAGGCCAATAAATAGCGAGAGACGAGAAGGGAGAGCCTCCCGGGGATGGGGTGCAGCTGGAGAAAGGGCTGCCATGGAGAGTCATTGGACAAAGTCAGGATGAGCCAACGTGGGCAGGCAGGTGGCATGCGGCGGGCGCGTGCCGGACTTCTCATCCGTCTCTCCATAGACATTCCATAGAGCAACTAACACAAGGCGGCTTTCTGTGTTCCCAGTGTGATTTCGATGGTGTAGTTAGTGGTGGGAACTCCCCACGTTCACATTCCTTCCCCTGATACAGTTTAGTAACTGGAATTTATCATTTTTTGAGAGGTTGGCTGGGACACTGAGAGTTTAAGTGACTTGCCCAAGGTCACATGGCTATTATGGATCAGTGGAAGGATTGGAATCCAGGGCTTTGTGACTCCAAGTACAGCTATCCCTTCACGATGCCGCACAGCTTCTCTGCCCCGCATACAGCAAACACTTAATAGGTGGTTGTTGCATTGAACTGAATCCATGCAGTGGGCTGGAGGCATTCCTTCTTTGGGTTTACACGGACAGAAGTATAGGCCTTGGGATGGTTAGGAGCAGCCCCTGATTTTCAAAGTGTTTCTCCTCAGTTCTTGGTTCCATTTACTGTCCCAGGAGAAACTGCCTGGACCGCTGGCCTTCTTCATCCACTCCGTGGCTCCTTGGTGCATTGGGAGGTCAGTTTCCTGAATCTCGTCCCTAGGCTCTGCAGCCTTCTGAGGCTGGAGTGGAACCCTCTTGTGGTCATCCACAAGGGCACATCTGGAGGGAGGAAAACCTCCCGCTGGATTCCTTAAAGGACTTTCTGCGGGACACTGTCAGAAACACTTAGTGCTTAGCACAGTGCTCAGCACGAAGTAGGCGCTTCATGAATGTTTATTGACTGACTCACTGCCCTTGAGGGAGAAGAAGCAGCAGGCTTCTCTGCCTTGTTCCCTGTCGATCCTCAGGGAATCACTGGCCTCTGGGGTTGCATCTGCCAAGGAATCTTACATAATGCCAGAATGTGCGTGGCAGATAGTGACTTGGAGGAGGGTCGTGTCAGTGGCCAAGTGTTCGCCTTTTCTGCGCTGCTCAGTCCATCATAGAGCTGAAGCTGTGCTCTGCCATAGAAAACCTGCAAAAATGTGCCTGTTCTCTTATCATGTCATGGGTAGTAAAGAGTTTGTGGAGTTGAGAAAGCAGGGACTTGGGCATCCTGCAGCTAGAGGGTGCCGCATTGCCCAGGGCACTGGGCCTCCAGTGGGGAACGTCCTGAGTTCAAATTTGTTCTCAGACACTTACTAGCTATGTGACCTTGGGAAAGTCACTTAACCTCTGTGGGCCTCAGTTTCATCTGCTGTAAAATGGGGATAATAATAGCACCTACTTCCCAGGATTGTTGTAAGTATCAAATGAGATAATAATAGTAAAAAGTGCTTAGCACAATGTCTGGCACGGAGAAGGTGCCTAATAAATGCTTGTTCCTGGATAATATGGAAATAAGTTTTGCATGACTTCACACATTAAAATTAATATCCTATTGCTTGCCTTTTCAAGGGGTGAGGAAGAGGCAGGAAAGAGAGAGAATTTGGAACTCAAAATTTTTAAAAATGAGTGTTCAAATTTACATGTAACTGGGAAATAGTTAATAAAATTAAAATATATTAAAAATTAAAAAAAAAGCATGTTCCCTTTCCTTTCCCCTAATCTTGCCCATTTAGTTGTTCAGTTTCTTCCCCTCTTTCAGATGTTGAAACTTCTTTCCTCAATGCTTTTAAAAACCTGTTGTAAAATCGATCATTTTAATTATATAAAATTTAAAAGTTTTTGCACAAACAAAACCAAGGCAACCAAAATGAAAAGAAAAGCCACAAACTTGGAAAAAGGTTTTGCCACAAGTATCTTTGATAAAGGCCTCATTTCTCAAATACAGAGACAGCTGAGTCAAATTCATGAAAATGCAAGTCATTCCCCAATTGATAAATGGTCAAAGGATAGGAACAGGCAGCTTTCAGGCAAAAAAATAAAAACTGTCTATAGTCATGTTAAAAAAATGTTTTAAATCAGTATTAGTTAGAGAAATGCACATTAAAACAACTCTGTGGGGGCAGTTAGGTGGCACAGTGGATAAGAGCCCTGGCCTTGGAGCCAGGAGGACCTGAGTTCAAATCCGACCTCAGACACATGACACTTACTAGTTGTATGACCCTAGGCAAGTCACTTAACCCCGATTGCCTCACCAAAAACAAAAACAGCTCTGAGATACGATCTCATATGTATCAGATTGGCTAATGTGATATTAAAAAAATGGTTAAATATTGGAGGGGATGTGGGAAAACTGGGACACTAATGCACCTTTGGTGGAGTTGTGAAGTGATCCAACCATCTGGAGAGCAATTTGGAACTATGCCCAAAGGGCTGTAAAACTGTGCATACCTTTTGATCTAACCTGCTAGGTCTATATCCCAAAGACATAAAAAAAAAAGGGAAAAGGACCTGTTTGTACAAAAATATGTATTGCAGCTCTTTTTGTGGTGGTTAAGAATTGGAAATCCAAGGGATGTCCATCAATTGGGGAACGGCTGAACAAGCTGTGGAATAGAATTGTGCTGTAAGAAATGACGAGCAGGACGATTTCAGAAAAACCTGGAAAACCATGAACTGACACAAGTAAAGTGAGCAGAACCAGGAGAATGTACATAGTAACAGCAATAGTATACTATGAAGAACTGGGAATGATTTGGCTATTCTGAGCCATGCACTGACCTAAGACAGTCCCAAAGGACTCAGGATGAAACATGCTGTCCACCTCCATTGAAAGAATGGATACCGTCTGAATGTTGGTTGTCCCCCCTTCTCAGAGAAGACCAGGACACCAGGGAGGTGGTCCCATGACTTGCAAGTGAATTGGATTTAAGGGAGGGAGGCTGTGCAGAATCACTAGACCCACTTTCTCCTCTGGAGCCGTTTGGGGCCAGTGGCCAGATAGAGATCAGGATGACTGGAGCTGGCCCCAGGTACAGTGGGAGACCTTGGCCTTTTTAAGTTAGGGTCTTTCCAAGTTTTCATGTTGACTGAGGCAATGCCCATTCAGTGATTAAGGCTGGGTAAGAAAGGAGGCAAACGATAGTCTCTTTTATCTAGTTAAATATATGTATATCTATTTATATATAATATATATAAATATATGTATATATGTTTATATACATATATAAGCATCCTCTTTTTCACTCTTTTTTTAAAATTCGAGTCTTCTTGTACAAAATGACTGATAAAATGACTAAAATGTTTTACCTGATTGCACATGTATAACCTGTATCTGATAGCTTACTGTTTCAGGAAGGGGATGGGGATGGAGGGAAGGAAGGATAGAATTTGGAATTCAAAACTTTAAAAAAAAATGTTTAAAAATTACTTAAACATGTAATTAGGTGAAAAATAAAATATACAAAAATGACCTTGATTTTAAAAAAAAGAAACTGTGTTAACAAGGGCTACTTCTATGCAACCTTCCTCTTCCCGGGTTTATTTCCTTCAATGCCATTTCTCATGTGGCACAGCGACTGAGCTACTCCATTCAACTATCACTTGAGGGGTTTTTTTTTGTTTTTAATTTTGTTTTCAGTTCCAAATTCTCTTCCTTCCTCCTGCTCCTCCGCCACACATTGAAGAGGAAAGAAATATGATACCCATTATACATATAAAATCATGCAAATCGTATTTCCCCCTTAGCCATTCAACAGTCACTAGTTAAGTACTTACTATGTACAAGGCTATTCTAGGCACTAGAGATGGTGTAAGAAGCAAGGTGGTGATGCACTGGCTCATGGCCTTATAGGGGCCATCTCTGGAAGCTTGCAGAAAGATTTCTGGTTTCTAGGGGACCGCATAGGAACTCATATGAAGAGCCCTGAAGTACATTCTGCTTTGCCAAGACAGAGTCCCCTTCTTGGCCAACAAGGGAGGAGCTGATGACTTTGTGGGTATTTAAAAGGGAGTGACCCCATCCTAGGGGTTGCTGTTGTCATCCTCATCATTGTTTCCCTGAGTGAAGCTACCTGACCAGCCATGGGGCA